GTTGGTGTGGCCTGAGGCCTTGAACATTGGCTCACGAGTTCATTGTATTGCTCTTATTTGGATGGAATCTTGGTGCATTTGAGCTCTCTGCTTGTTACATGACTATCTGGACATCTGCGTGATTTTGCAACTTGGTTTTCTGTATATCGCTCTCACTCATATTCCTTGCCTCTCTCTCTCTCTCTCTCTCCTGTCTCTTATACACATCTAGATGTGTATAAGAGACAGGAATTACATACACCGAACACCATGCAGTGCATGCACTATAATCATTCAGAATGGGTAATGCGCAGTAGGGACATGGTGTTAGAACTTAGAACGATTCAACATGAGCACCAATGCACTTTGGCTTTGGAACCATAACATTGATGGGCCATTCACTGTGGGTGGCAAAATACACTTAACAAAGTTAACATTGAAAATTTGATACCATTCACTGTGCGCCTCAGGGAGAAAGTAGAGAGCACGCAAATTCTTCTGTGGACATGCATAGTCTCTTTACTGACGACCTTCCTTGAAAGTTGTGAAACTGCAAAAACCCAGGGGGAGTGACAGGCACTGACAGCAATGGAACCTGCCAGGCTTACGGGAGCAGCAATTGCTAGCCACGCAGTTCCTTGCTATCGGTGCAGGATGCACACAACCTGAAGTGCGCATGAGGACATACACAGAAAAATTGTGTGGTTTAATGATTTAATCTATCGACCACCCACAAATCTGCCATGGCAACTCCACCAAAAACCACACGCGCAACTTGTTGCCCTTTTGAGAGAAGTGCGTGTGTGTGTGTGTGGCTGGGTGGATGGGTGGGGGGTGCACGGTTATACACATCTAGATGTGTATAAGAGACATCTATATGGATGGTTTCTCGGTGCATTTTGTACTCTCTGCTTGGATACGACTACCTGGACATCTGTGTGATTTCGCAACTTGGTTTTCTGTATATAGTTCACACTCATGTTCCTTGCACCTGGTAAAAAAAAAAAAAAAAAAAAAAAAAAAAACACTCGTAGTGGGTGCTGATCCCTGACTCTAATAGACCTACTCCTGTTTCCATCTTTCTGCATCCTC